TTCCTTTGCTTAACACTGTATTTAGATTCATCCATGTTGCTGGCTATGTCGTGTGTGTGTGTGTGTGTGTGTGTATCCATGGATAAACACTTGGGTTGCTTCTATACTTTGGCTATCGTTAATAAAGGTACACTAAACACAGGGGTGTGTGTTTTTTTTAATTGTTTTCAAATTTGGGGGGCAAATTACTAGATCACGTGGTTTCTGTTTCCCACAATGCTAACACTATCTTGCAGTCCCAGCAACAGTGCACGAGGGTTCCTTTTTCCCCCACATCCTTGGCAACACTTACTATTTCTTTTTGACATTAGCCATTCTGACAGGTGTGAGGTGATCTCATTGTGGTTTTGATTCACATTTCCCTGATCACGAGTGACGTTGAGCATCTTTTCAAGTGTCTGTTGGCCATCTGTTTTGAAAAAAATGTCTATCCATTTCTGCTGCCCATTTTTAATTGCATTATTGTTTGGGTTTTGGGCTGTCAAAGTTCTTCATGTATTTTAGATATTAAGATTTGATTTTGATGAGTATTTTTTAAGCAGATGAAGCTGGTCACCTGAGGACTTGATGGTCTCTAGGAAGACACCTCTCTCTCTCTCGAGAACCTCTTCTCTGGCAAAGTCTCTCCAGAAGTATGTGTTAATCTCATTTGAACACTGCTGCTCTTGCATTTACTGTGACAAAGGTATCTCCTTCCAGATTTCAACTTCGCTGCCTCTTCTTTGTTGGCATTTGTACTTACTTTGCAGCCAGCTGGCAAGGAACAGTTTGGAAACCTGCTGAGCCGTGCTACTGTCCTCCCTCCCGAGCTCTGTATGGATTTAGCTTGGAATTCAATTCGTACATGTTGGGGGCATGCTCTATTCATTCCTATAATCCATCTCCCTGACTAGTCTGTTTTCTCCTGCTTAAATGCCGGAGATGCATTTTTTTAATTTAGTCATTTGCCGTCAGCTGGTTTTGTTAAACAGATGGCTAGGAGGAGACTGTAGAGCTCCTCTTTGGGTATTCCTTTCCTGTTTTCCTGGTACTATGTGATGCGTATTCCGCATTAGCAAATAATTAATAGCCAGGCAACCTCACACTACAAATTCAACAAGTAGCTCATCAGTGTACACTGTTGGCAAACCCTCCTGTCATGGTAAGTTTGGAGGTCGTATTTTGTAGATTGCCATGAATGCTCAGCAATTGTCAGGACCAAGAATACTGCTAATGATACCATAGATGCCTTGGTGGTTTGTTTGTTTGTTTGTTTGTTTGTTTATTTATTTATTTATTTATTTATTTATTTATTTTAGTGGAGATCAAGAACTTTGTCCTCATATTTGTCCTATGATGCCAAGACTGGGAAGACTGTGTTATGATCTCCTTTAACATAAGACCAAAGAAGGACTTAGCCTCCTCTGCAAGGCCATCATTACCATTCAGTGTGTGTGTGTGGGGGGGTACAGCATGAGAATTACCTCGTGTTCTGTATAGGGAACTTTCTCCAAGGAACACCATGGTACTCACTAATGCCAGCTAACAGGCAGTGGAGGATGAGACTTTGTCTAGCAAGTGAAGGTCATTGCAACTTTCCTCTTGAGGGAGAATGTGAACATTTTTCTTCAATTCTAGGCAGCGCCCAGGATACACCTCTTCATTTAGCATGTCATTTGGGCTTTATATTGTCTTATTGAACAGCAGCATAATACATGTTGATCCATATGGTTTGCATTGGAAATTCATTCTTCTATATAATCGGGAAAGGTACTGTGGAGTCCCTTCAGAGGTCTTTCTTCATCCAGGTAAATAGAAATCCAATATTCCTTCATAAGTAGTGTTGTTGAACCACTGCATTGCTTTGTGTTGAGCTCTGAGGACTTTATCTGTTAACAGGAAATCAAGATCTTCATAGAATATTGACTGGTCTTTTAAGCAGATGAGACACTTGCTATGGAAGGCATTCTTAACCAAAGTCATGAATAAAGAGGGGTTGGTACCTTGTAAAGAAAATTACTGATATGAGCCCTTGATTCAGTGAGTGACTTTCACAAGAAGTGTCAGTTACTCTTTGCATTGTTCATTCCTCTCAAGCAGTTCTTATGTTTGACTGGATGTTTAATTTTGCATGGTGTTGTATTATATATGAGATACATGTTAAAATACCAATGTATACTAATGGTGTGCAAAATTCCCAAAAATTCTCCCAATATAGCTTGATAGGTAGTGCTTCGTTTGAGTGCGAGGCCTAGAAACGTGACTAAGTGGGAATTGGGTTTTCGTTGGCCATAAAGAAGGGTAGATTTTAGATGGTTGTATAATAAATACATTATTGGTATCAGATAGCTTATGGGAATGTCATAAATTTGGGCTGATTATAATGCAATCAACTTAAGCCCTAAATAGTGTGCTTATCAAAAAGACTGTGCTTGATCTAATTAATTTCCAAGTTACTGTTTCACTTGTTTTTCTGCCTGGCTTTGCTTTTAGCTAGTTTGAATCTGAGACATCTCAGAACCCTGTGAGGAGCCCGATGCGGAACCCCGGGATCATGAGCTGAGCCACCCAGGCATCCCTTTAACACTGTTTTTAAGTTCTCTTCATCTTGCTATGTCTGAATCCAGTTTGTTGGTTCTGTCTGCTGCATGGAATTCTCCAGTGAAGTCTGCCACTTGAAGTGAATGGGCAGGGCTGGAGGGGAAGGCAGCAGCCAGCAGACCTCCCCTGGCATCAGGAGGGGGTCCTCCTGATCGGGGCCGCGTGACCCCAGAAATCACACTCCTCTGACACAGACAAACGGTCACTGCCCTGCCTTGGGCTGATGGTGAGAAAGCAGACACCTGAGGGCCCACTATTTTAAGGCAGAAAGAACATTTATGGGTGGTGAGGTAAGACTTGATGGAAAGTTGACCTTTTTTTTTCTTCTGGATCCTTCATGTATTTAATAAACATTAACAACCTTCTGGCATATTGAAAACTGAAAGCCTTGAAATGGAACTTTTCTCAGATGCAAATGTTTTAAAATGAAAGGTTCAGATAAATAGTTTGACAGTGTTTTCAATGCATTAGTAAAACAACCTCACAGAAAATTATGCTTCTGCTTCTTTTACCTAAATACAGCGATTTCTGTTTCGGGCCCCCTCTGAAATTTACCAACAGGGAACATAATTTTTGGATCGTTGTCTCCATAGTTCATAAATAATTTTGCATTCTGCTTTCCTCCAGTGAAAATTATTTTCTCTATACTTTCCCATATTTCATAACCTGGAATATTTGTCACTCTTAAGGATTGTAGTAAATTACAGCAAGCTGATATACCACAATTTAGACATTTCACATTTGTCGTAAATTTGGCTTGTTTTAGTTTTTTTGTGAATATTAGAAAAAGCTCATCTTAAAGGAAATATATCGCAGCTTCATGGGTTAAAGCAGTTTTGACATATTGCTTCATCTAAAATTGTTGATTCTAACGTGTGAAAGATGTCGCTTTCATGTGGAGAAAACATAGCCTGTCCTCTTAAGGGAGACTTAAATTCTCTTGGTTATGTTTTGAGCATCCATTTATAATGGAACGATAATTAATACAGACAGACCAAATATATTTAGAGCTTTCTCCGTTGAGTACCTTGCATGTATTGTTAGGAAACAGCACTTTTCCAGCGGGGGAGAAGAGTCGATGGGCAGTGTGGTTAAGATACAAGGCTGCAGCGTGACTGCTCCCAATGGCAACATCTACTGATTCACTGGCTGTGACATGACTGAATGGTTTCTCACTTTTTGCCTTTTGAGAGCCACTGGAGGAACAGGTCCCTCTCTGGTAGGCGGCAGTCAGCTCCCATCTTGCGTGGAGGCCTGATGATTTGTCAGGCCTTCGGAAGTACCTGGAGCTAACTCCTCCCATAGCTGTTCTGAGCAAGGGCTGAAGAGTGCAAGGACTGACTGGACAGGCCATCAGCAGTAATGGAAATTCCCTGATGGTCTGTATGGCACCCCACCCAGAATATTCTGAGCATCTAAGGTCAAGTTCAATTCTCAGGCAAGTTCCTCCTTCCCCTTCCCAGCTTAGAAGGTGCTGAGAGGCCCTTGCCTAGGGGTGAGGCGAAGGCCTATGATAAACTGGTAGCTGGTCGTTGCAGGGACTATTTCTAAACGGAGCATAAATCTCAGGATTTGTGACTAGGGCTTGGTAGGGCAGAGCAATTGAGACCGTTCCATTGTTGAGCAGTTTCTGTAGGTACCTTCAAAGATCCTAGGGCTATTGCCTCCTTTGAATTAGTTATGTCTCCACCTATTTTGTGAAGATTTTTTTCATATATAGAACTTGCTTTTTTGCTGCATGAGGGCAGGATTTTGGATGTCTGGTTGATTGCTCTATCTCTTGTTGCCTCATATGGAGCTTGGAGCATAAAAAGTGCTCAATAAACATTTGTTGATTGGATGATTTCAGTTATCTGATTTTGTGGACTAAGCATATCATGTGGGCACCCGCTCACTTGTTGAGAGGAGTATAGCAGGTGACTGTAGAAATGAGTAGCAGCGTGATAAAGCCAGGGAGAAGTAGAGTGCAAAGGGGAGTGCACGGGCTTTGCAGCCAGACGGATGGGGATTCTCATCCCAACTTCACTGCTCCTTGTCTTAACTCGGTTGACCAGTTTATGTTCTCTGAACCTCAGCTTTCTTACCTATAATGTGGATCAATCCACTTTACTCATGTAGTATGTTGTGAGGGTCATTGCTCAGAGAAGATACCTAAGACTATTATCTTCCTCCTCCTTTTGCTGCCAAATGGGTGAAAACAGAAAGCCAACAGAGGCCGTTACTGTGTCCACATGTTGTCAAGAAGTAGATCTCTACGTTCATATTACCTGAAATCTAAAACATGCCATTTACTGCCTCCATCTGTCTATACCAGCAGCTAATGCCATGAGTACTTCAAACAACATGCATACCTTTTTGTTATGCTTTGAGCCTCTTTATTAATCACTTTATAATCACTTTATTAATCTTTGTCCCTACAGAATTTACGAACGCGTAATACACCCTCCTGAAACCAACCTTCCCCCAGGAAGCAACTTATGGCTTGGTCAACGCAACCAAAAGCATGGCTTTTTCAAAGTAAGCATTTCCTTCTATTTTTGCCAGGTGCTTTTCTATGTACTTGACATAAATAAGTGTCACGGCGATTCTATGAAGTAGGTGCTTTGAAACTCGACAGAAGTCAAGTGACTTGCTCAAGGTCGCACAGTTCACTCTCCTGCCAAATTGGATGATGCATAATGTAAATGATCCTTCTAATGTTTCTTACTGACCTAATTCTGAGAGATGAAGGATAATTGGTTTCCATTCTCAGAATCTTGGGGTGGATAGGCAACAAGTCTCAACTTCTGTGAGCTTTGGTTTTCTTGTCTATAAAGAAGATAATACAATAACTGCATTGTTGTACTTGATAGAAACAGGACAACAGTGGTAAAATGAAGGAAAAAAACCTCATGAAATTTTAAAAACTCTTGGTCTTCAGCAGATTGGCAGACTTTTGCTTCTGGCAGTATGGTGAAGGAGATATTTCAAAAAAGTTCTCCTGCTTTGAAATGCCTTGAAATACTGGATTAAACGGAACAAAAAAAAATCTTTTAAGACCCATCTTGGAGGCGAAATACGTGGAAAAAAGTAAAAACCAGAGGGATGTTTCCCAATACCAACAAATTAGAAACTTAAGTTTCTTTTCTGTTACTACAATTTGATTCAGATGTAATTGACCCATAATTATGTAACTTTAAGATGTGTGCTGTTGGATTTGATATACTTGTATTTTGCAAAATGATTATCAGCAGTGTTCAGTAACACCTCCTTTGCCTCACATAATTACCATTGGCTTTTTTTTTTGTCCTGAGAATATTTAAGATCTACTCTCTTTCAGATACATGATACAATATTATTCACTGTAATCACCACAGTGTACATTAGATTTCCAGAATTTACTTGTAATATAACTGAAAGTTGATATATTTTGACTAGCATCTCCCCAGGTCCCCTAACCTCTTGCAGTCGGCATTGCACTGCCTCTGAGTTGAGGTTTTCTAGATTCTACGTATATGTGATATTGTGCAGTATTTGTCTCTTATTTCCCTTTGCACAACGCCCTCAGAGTCTATTCATGTTGGAAATGGCAGGATTTTTTTTCCTCGTGGCTGAATATTATTCTATTGTATATATGTCACCACTTTTTTTTAGCCTTTCATCTATTGACATATACTTATTTTTTCTGTCTTGTCTGCTGAGAATAGTGTGGCAATAAGTATGGGGATGAAGATATCTGTTGGAGATAGTGATTCAATTTTCTTTGCATATATACTCAGCTTAATCCACCCAGATGTGGGATTGCTGGATTGTATGGTAGCTCTATTTTTAATTTTTTGAGGAACTTTCACAGTGGTTGTACCAATTTACATTCTCCCAAACAGTGTACAAGGGTTCCTTGTTCTCCACACGTGCTATTTTTTTCTTTCCAATGACAGCCATTTTAAGAGAGATGAGGTGATATTTCATTGGTTTTGATCTGCATTTCCCTGATGACGAGTGATGTTAAGCAACTTTTCATGTACTTATTGACCAGTGGTACGTCTGTGAAAAAAAACTATTGGGTTCTTCTACCCATTTTTTAATCCGCTGTTTTGCTATTGTGTTGTAGGAATTTTAAAGTACATTTTTGGATATTAACCTCTTACCAGATTACTGATTTGCAGATATTTTCTTCCATTCCATAGGGTGCCCTTTCATTTTGTTCATTGTTTCTTTTGCCGTGGAGAAGCTTTTTAGTTTGTAGATCTACTTACTAATTTTAGATTTTACCGCTTGTGTGTTTGGTGTCCAATCCAAAAAATGATTGCCAAGACCAATGCCAAGGTGCTTTCTCCCTGTTTTCTTCTGGGAGTTTTATGGTTTCAGTCTCTTGTTTAATTCTTTAACCTACTTCAAATTTTTGTGAGTGGTGATGTAGGAATCCAATTTCTTCTTGGTGTGGTTATCCAGTTTTCCCAACACCATTTATTGAAGAGACTATCCTTGTTGAATATTCTTGACTCCTTTGTCAAATAGTACATGTATGTGCAATGGTTTATTTTGGGGCTCTCGATTCTGTTCTCTTGGTCTTATAGATCTGTGTTTTGCCAGACTGCTTTGATTATTGTAGCTTTGTAGTATGCTGTTGGCCCCTGAACAAAAGGGATTTGAACTGCATGGGTCTATTTACACATGCATTTTTTTCCGATACAGTACTGTAAATGTATTTTCTCTTTGGATTTTCTTAACATTTTCTTCCTAGCTTTAGTGTAAGACTAGAGTACATAATACTTATTTTATAAAATATGTATCATTTGACTGTGTATGTTAATGGTTAGGATTACATCAACAGGTTATTAGTAGTTAACTTTTGGGGGAGTCTGAAGTTACATGTGCACTTTTGACTGCATGGAGGTTGGTGCTTCTAACACCTGCATCGTTAAAAGGTCTAACATACTTTGAAATCTGAAAGTGTGATGCCTTCAGGTTTGTTCTTCTCTTAGCATTACTTTGACTATTTAGGAGTCTTTTGTGGTTCCTATATAAACTTTAGTGTGTGTGTTCTTTTTTTGTTTGAAAAATGCCATTTAAGTTTTGATAGGGATTACACTGAATCTATAAATGGGTTTGGGTAATTGAACATTTTAATAGTATTCCTCCAATCCATGAATATGGGCTAGGTTTACATTTGTTTGTGTCTATTTCAATTTTTTAAATCAAAATTTTGTAGTTTTCATTGTACAGATTTTTCTCCTACTTGGTTAAATCCTTAAGTATTTTATGGTTTTTGATGCTATTGTGAATGGAATTCTTTTATTTCTTTGTCAGATGTTTCATTGTTAGCATATAGAAATGCAACTGAGGGCAGCCCGGGTGGCTCAGCGGTTTAGCGCCACCTTCAGCCCAGGATGTGATCCTGGAGATCCGGGATTAAGTCCCATGTTGGGCTCCCTGCATGGAGCCTGCTTTCCCTCTGCCTGTGTCTCTGCCCCTCTCTCTCTCTCTCTCTCTCTCTCTCTCTCTCTCTCTCTCTGTGTGTGTCTCATGAATAAATAAATAAAATCTTTAAAAGAAAAAAAAAGAAATGCAACTGACATTTGTATGTTGATTTTTGTATCCTGCAGCTTTACTATTAGTTTTCTAAGTTTTTTGGTGGAATAGTTGGGGTTTTCTATATGTAAAGTTGTATCACCTGCAAAAACAGTTTTACTTAGTTCTTTCTGATTTTCTTGCCTTTTATTTCTTATTGCTCTGATGAGGTCTCTTATTACTGTGTTGAATAAGAGTGGTGAGAGTGGGGTGCCTTTGCTTTGTTTTTCAGCTTAGTGGTGTAAAACTTAACTTTTCACTCTTGAGTATGATGTTAGCTGCAGGCTTGTCATACATGGCTTTTATCATGTTGAGCTTATGTTCCTTTGCCCAATTTTTTGAGTCTTCTTATTGTGAAAGGAAGTTGTATTTTGTCAAATGCTTCTTCTGTTTATGAGATGATCCTATGGATTTATCTTTCATTCTGTTGGGATGTGTCTCATTTATTAATTTGCATATGTTGAACCATTTTAGCATTCCAGGGATAAATCTTACTTGATCATGACGTATGATTCTTTAACGTGCCCTTGAATTGAGCTTGCTAATATTTTAATTCTTACATCTATATTCATCAGGGTTATCGGCCTGTAGTTTTCTTGTAGTATTCTTATCTGATTTTGATATCAAGATAATGCTGGTCTCCTTAAATTAGTTGGGGATTTGGGGAAGATTTCCTCTTTTTTTTTTTTTTTGAAAAGTTTGAGAAAGATTGGTGTTAAATGTTTGGTAGAATTCACCAGTGAAGCCATTTGGTCCTGGGCTTTTCTTTTCCTTTTAAAAAAAAATCAAAGCATAACTTAGAACAAAATTCATTCCTTTACATACAGTTTTTAGTTTCAGAAAATTGATATAGTTATGTAAACACATCATAGTAAAGATAAAAGGACCATTCCATAAATTTCATAAATTCCCCTGTAATGCTTCTGATTGATCTCATCTTCCATGTCCAGCAACTATTGATCTGTTGTCTGGCCCTATAGTTTTACCTTTCCTGGAATGTTCTATAAATGAAATCATGCATGTATGTTTAGATGCATCCTTTGGTGATTTATTTTTCTTATGGTACTCTAATTCTTTCCAAGGATGTACTAAAGTTTTTTATTCATCCCTCAATTCATGGACATTTAGGTTGTTTTGAGATTTGGGCATTTATGAATAAAGCCACTTAAAATGCTTGCTTACAGGTTTTTGTATGAACACAAATTTTCTTTCAGGTATGTAGAAGTGGGATTGCTGGACTGTATATGAAGTGTATAAGAAAATGCTGGTGTATTTTCCAAAGTGGCTGTCCTAGTTTGCAACTGCACAGCAATATATGAAGTTCCAGTTAGAGCCTTAAATTTCAGCAGTCTGTAGTAGAATGGGAGGAATGTCTTAGATATCATGAAACATTGGAAGATGGGGCAGAAAATTCTAAAACAAAACCACAACCTAGAAGACTACAACTCAAGAGAAAGTTTAGACAGAAGAGTCTACTACTTAGCCATGGGAAAGCAGTCCAGTAGCTGGTCTTTCTCCACCTCAGTTTCTCATAGGAAAAAGTTGTTCCCTGGAAAGAATTTGAAATCATAGTCCTCACATCATGCAGCCTTGAAATTTGGGTTTATTTTGCCAATGAAGCTTAAAGAAACTATTGGTTGGGAACCATGGGATTCTGGATGAAGAAAATAAAATTATCTTTGGGGAAAGGTCTCATTCTGTGCAGACTTCACAGATTCCTACAGTTTCATGCAAATAGGATTTTAAGTTGTATGAGTGAAAGTTGGAAGAAGCAACAATTGAATTAGCCCTCAAAGGGCTGCAGAAATAGGAATTATAGTATAGAGTTTTGAAAATCCCTATGTTTTAAAATGTTTAAAGAAACAAAGTAACAAATCTGTGAGGACTGGAGAATATAAATATGAGGGAAGACCAAAGAGAACTTCCAGAAATAAATATAGTCATTGAAGTGAGAAAAAACCCTCAGT